GTTTGCCAATCGCTCAGAGTAGAAAACGTCTAAACTTTGGAGTACACTGGGATCACAGTCTTCAAGATTTACGGGTTGATTCTCGGGTGACGGCTTCTTGTACTTCGCGAGTCTTTTAAAGGCTGCTATAGTTGCTTTGAGATGTTTCTTGCAATGTTGACAATGGATGGACTTGACTAAAGCGGTGCCAATATGGCGAAGAATATGGTCGCTATAGAACATGTTTTTGGATCTTAAAGTGGACCTTTCTTTAGCAGAAATATTTTCAGGGAAGTTCTCCGTGAGAAGCCTAGTTTCTTCTTTATCTTTCAAGCCGATAACCTCAGAACATTTCATTTCCTCAGCAGGTAACTCCAAATCCTCGAACCTCTTATCGAGGATATCCTGGCAGAGGGAAATATGGTGATCACACTTTATGCACATACCATCTCTACGTGACTCATTATCATTAGCATTTGCATATAGCCCCTGTACTTCACAGTACGAGTCATACAAAGCTGTAGACCTTTTTTGTATTTTGAGTGTTAGAGATCGCGAGGGTTTCGTAAAGTGTGATATGCCTTTGCTTGACTTTTTCTCAACGTCCTCGTAGCATCCGTCACATAACTGCCTTTCCTCTTTCATAGAATCTAACAGGGACAAAGTTTTTACTTTTGTGCTATAAAAGAATTTTGCTCCCCAGCTTGCTCTCAATTGATGGCTATTCGAAACCGTTTTTAAGCTGCCTTTTGTGTTACGCCTGGCTTTCTTCTTGAGGGGATTTTTAGAGACTTTATTTAGGACACAGAAGGAGCACTTGTTGGTTTTGATCGAGTCATCTTCTGCAAGCAATGCTGATCTCATCTTTGAAAACGACGTTAGGATCGCTTGGATGTGTAGCAGCTGGTAGCCTAGTGTGTTCTTTCCCAATCGCAACAGATTAATGACTCTATCTCTGTAATTTTTGACATCTTGATGGCAACGAACGCAGAGGGAACCATTGCTGTTTAGCATCCTAGCCATATGCACCACACATTTTAGCGCAATCAACTTCCTCCTGCTGTTACTACTAGAGACATTTTTTATCCGGGCCATTTCTTCATTGCTGACTGTTGCAGAAAACTTCCATAAATTCTTATAGGAGGGATCTTCTTCGTCAAGACTCAATTCCATATCTTTAAAGTCGACACTAGTCACGCTCTTGAACGGTTTTATATGACAATTACCGCCCTTATCTATGCTCTCATTCTCATTGAAACTAATTTCACTGTCAATTGATTGGCGTGGTTCCTCATCAACACTGATTTCACTATCCATGTCTGTTGAGTCATTGGGTAATTTAGCTGATTTTGTGAATGTACTACGAAGTGAAAATATGGAGCTATTGCTTGAATTATCATCGTTGCTGCCGCTTTCCATTTCACATAAATTGTCAAGATATTCGTCATTTATATCGGCAACATCTTCTTTCTTTTCCGCAGGTAGCATTTCAGGCAATGACATGTCCATGTCTTCAGACGTGTAACTGTTCTTATGGCAAGCTCTCTTAGTAGACGGTTTGATACTCGAACCAGCGCTAGAAGTAGCAGAGGATGAATCGGAGGGATCTTGAGCTTTCTTATTGTCAGAGCAATCAAAGCTATCAAAGAAGTCCCTTGGAATCGCTCCTTCTCCATCTTCAATATCACTATCAACCTCACACATCATGTCAAGAATCTCACCCTTTTGTTGGAACGTTTATTTTTTCATAAAGAGGGTTGTTCTTCACGAGCCATTTTATTGCCTTAATGACTTTGTCCACATTAATCAAAGATTGCCAAACTTTCCTGTTTTTGTTTGGCAGACCATGAAGGACAATAAAATTCTTTGGATTCAACAGTCCATGAGGCACTCCTCCCGCTAATTGCTCAACGTTCGCCTGTATTGGGACCGGGATGTGGACACTAAATCCTTTGACTGCCGCCATTTTTTCATTGTTCGGCCGATTTCCAACACTTGGTCCCAGCTTCAAAAACGTTTGGAACATTGAAATTTGTCGAATGAACATACACTCAAACTGGGACAAATCAGCTATTTCCATGGGAACGATCCCTTCGTTCATCCCGTTCCTCACTGATATCCTTGGAACTTCCCCTTTGTCCATTTTAGTGTGACAGTAGTTGCAAATTCTTTTGCCCACCAACGTGTCAACATAAACACCTCCCATTTTAAGCCATTCATCTGACTGCAGAAAGTGGAGAAGAAGCATGTATTCTGAGTTGACGATGTTCACCTTCTTCCATCGAGATGTTATGGTTTTGCATTTCTTAGGATTATCCTCGGTCAGCCTTTGACAAGAAATGCAAGGCACTGTATGGTTGGCGTTGACTGTAGTCAGGAATTCTAAATATTGTTTAGGAAAGTTGTCTTCCATATACTGCTCATTAATGATTTGTGGCGGTCTCTCAACCTTGAATATTTTTTCTGCAATCAGGGGTTCGTATTGCATTAGTTTAATCAAATACTCGATATCCCCTGTTGCAGTTGCCGTATCCAAGTCGCACACAAATTGGTCGGCTGTTTTCATTTCGTTCACAGTCTTATAGATAGATCGAGCATTTTTGGAGTGGACACTCAATTTTCTCAGCAGAACTAAGTCACTTGAGCACTTGTTCTTCGCCTCCCTCCTTAAACAGCTTTCAGGGTGATTACGCTGCTCGACTATCAAGCTGTAGATTTCATTTGCTTTGACATTGCCACACTTGTTTGACTCTTGAACGAAGGTTCTGGAATTTCTCACTTCTAAATTTTTACATCTTGCCAAGAAGTCTTTGAAGCGAGTTACCTCAAAACCCCCAGCAGGAATGCAGTCGGCAGTACATTTTTCACTTTTTCTCGTTTCCTCTCTGCTCTTCTTTGAAGCCTTGTTGTACCGAAATGTGAATGGCTCCCTACTGAAAAAGCTGTATAGAGGAAAGTAAGGTTCCGTACCTTTTCTGTGACATTTATAGCCAAGGATGCTGTCATGGCGCTTCTCTTCAGATGTGTCCAACTTTTCTTTGTTGAGAAGCTGCTCCGATGTCAAGTTCAACTTATGACAACGGCCATATAAAACTTTGATCCACAGATCACGGCTGTTCAAAATCCTCCTCTGGAGCTGTGATGCGACAAAATTCTTTTTGTAATGGTCGGTTTTTCCTTTAAAATTGAGAGATGGGTACCATTTTTTAATGATGCTGTTGGTTAATTGATCATTCAAATGCTCCATCATCAATCGCATAACGGCATTTTTCCATGTAAGCCTGCTCTTTGACCTCATGAACGTTTTTGATTTGAATGTTCCTCTTTTTGAAACATATGGTAGGTTAGGGAGGAAGACACTTTTTCTGAATCCCTTGATCTTCTCCTTGTGTAACAGGAATTGCAATTTTTTATTGTTGCGGGTCGTGTGCGTCTTTATCTGTTTCATGGCCTGCTTCCTTTTCAAGCAATAATCTATGTCATCGTCAAAATCTTCCCCAAATTCTTCAAACAATCTGCTTCGGCGATACCGAGTTCTTCTAGACTGCGATAATTTTTCTTTCTTTGAATCTTCATAATCCTTCCGTTTTTGCCTGGTTTCTGGTTTTTGCCTAACAATTCGAAGTTTTTCCTTCATTCGATCGTTCACATGTGGGACTGATTTATATTTCTTAGCTGCTTTATGAATTGCAGATCTGCCGGCGGGAGAAGAGTAGTACCTACTTTGTGCTTTGTTTAGTGAAGATCTGCCGCCGGGAGAATTGAAGTACCTACTTTGTGCAGATCTGCCGGCGGGAGAAGAGTAGTACCTACTTTGTGCTTTGTTTAGTGAAGATCTGCCGCCGGGAGAATTGAAGTACCTACTTTGTGCAGATCTGCCGCCGGGAGAAGAGAAGTACCTACTTTGCGCTTTGTTTAGCGCAGATCTGCCACCGGGAGAAGAGTGGTAGCGAATGTTTCTTAATGCACGCTTCATTTTTCTTAGTAGATATTTTTCACTTTCTTTAGGATCTTGCTCTTCATTCATTAGGGATTCTTCATCCATTGTCATTCCATCATCTGAAGGAGAGCTCTGTCTTTGACTTTCCTTAACATCTTGCTTCTCATTCATTAAGTATTCTACATTCATTGTTATTCCATCATCTGAAGGAGAACTTTGTCTTTCACTTTCCCTTTCGAAAGGCTGATCATCTCTCTGATTATCTTTGAATGAAGAATTCCTGCTGCTTTCGAGACTGTCTTCTTTGGGCAAATCTGAAATACAATGTACAGAATTTGTTCACATGAACTGCATAAAGAATATAATCGTTATTATTATTACGATTATAACAAACAGGCTGGTGAAAAGATTTGGTGCGAGTCTCAAATATATTCACATTCTCGGGATTTAAAATAATAAAGTACCGACGCGTACATGTAGTAAGATATTTTGGCCTAACATACGACAGCTGTGCAGCGAGGCTAGCTATTCGCGCAGAAACTTATAAAATTCAACTAGCAATGTGATTGATAGCACCCACATGATCTAATCTATTTTTAATGACTTTGTTTACCTTCTAATCGCAAAGTATTAGATAAAGGCTAAATATCGTTACATGGAGGATTTACGTTCATATTGAGACTGTGAAATATGTAATAATTGACCGGATATTATAATTTAAGCTCAAACAATATGCGTACGTAATTATTACAAAATACGTACAGTGCGTACTTTTTGGCCAATGTGTTGATTATTTTTGTGTTTAGAAGTGGCATGTATTTCGAAAATGTGCAATGAAAATAACATTTCAAAGTGAAAGAAGGGAAATTAGAATTAACAAATTGTGGAATATTTTTTGACGTTTATGATTGCATCATGCACGTTAAACTATAATATTTCTAATTAAAGCTGAAAAGTGCGGCTGTAGATTGAAAATAATAACTAAAACAAGTCGAGATGTCAGACATTGAGGATCATAATACTAAATTATCAATAAGACCTGTGGACAGAAAGCTGCTTTATCAAAAAATCACCACATTGTAAAAGTAATTATATCCTCAACTTATAAACACAACTCTTATAACATTTTCTTACCTTTTTTGTGTACGGAAGACTCAGAAGTTTGCTTTTTATATTTCCTTCCTATTCGTTTTCTCTTCGAATTTCTCTTGAAACTCTTTGTGAATTGTTTGTCTGTTCCTCCTCCACTAATGTCTTTGATGATTTCGCACTGGGAATGAAGTATAAGAAACCTCAAAATGAACCAAGTTGTCGTATATAAGAAGTTGGTCATGCAAATAATTATAATTATGAAATTTAAATAAATTCACGACTAGACTTACTTTAGCTGCTTTCTTTCTTCTTTTTGCAGTCCTTTTTTCATGTTTTTCTTTTTCTTCGATAGATATTGATCTTTGTATAATTTCTATTTCGTCAAACTGCTTTAGTAACTGTATCTCTAACTGTAAAGCCTTAGCCTGCAAATTGTTCTTCATGTAATTCGTTACAATATCGATGTTTAAGTACCTTTTGATATATTTCAATCGCTACACATCGTATAATAATTTATTTCTTTTGGAAGGAGTGCCAATTAGTCTGCATTGAATGCGCATAAAAAAGATTTAATCAAAAACATCAAAATATTTCAAAAAATGAATTTTACAAACTTTTCGTTTTTCTTCTTTCTTTTTGTTTCGCTGAGCTTTTGTTTTTCTAATGGGTTTCTTTTTTGATGCGACAGCTTCATCCCCTGTTGTCCTATTTTCGTATGAATGACATTCTTCCTGCAATTTTGTACAATATTATAATTAATGTAAATATTATGTTAATATAACATATATTTGAAACAATTTTCTTCTGCGGGACAAATAATTATGTTGTATTGGTAAAGTGTAAATTTTATGCGACCTAAAATGAATTTACGCTGCACAATTATACAGCTAAATAAAACGAAAATGTCAGATAATTAATTACAAGTCAGAGACAAACAGTTATGGATGCAAATAATTATAATCTTACATTTTTTGAATTGTTGCACAGCTGTTCTCGTAGGCTTAGTCTTTCGAATCCGTTGTGTAAATTAATTCCAAATGATAGGGATTCTGTTCTGCATTGTCCATGTTTGTTTTTACTCACCTTAGCTTTATAGGCCTGCCAATGCTTATCGTAATTGTATAGAAAGTAAAAATTAATTGATTGTAATTATCATTAATTTTAAGAAACTAATCGTACTTTGATAAGCTTTTTTTATATTAAAGTTAAGTTACAAACTTTTTGTTTTTTTTCTTTCTCCTTGAATCTCTGAGCTTGTGTTGTTTTACATTTACTGTTTTTCTGTTTCAGTACAAGAACTCCAACCCCGGTTGTCGTCTTATCAGATAAGTACTCGTTTTCCTGTAATTTTCATCGACTTAAAAAAGCTTTGTCTAATAATCTAAATCAACTCGAGAGTGACACTATTACTAATCTATTTTTTGTTTTAGTCTACAGCAACCTGAATTTAATAAAAAAGGATCCAATAAAATGGGGTAATCATTGAATGAACAGTTTTACTCACCCTTTGGACATGACAATTTTCTGGAGCTTCAGAGGATGCCAACCCATAAATGAGCGTTGGATTTGAGACAACTTGACTCCAAAGTTCCTGTAAAACATGCTTTTTTGAAACGTCTTAAAATACCTTTTCGGGAAATAAAATAATTATCAACAATACAGCCAATTAACCGTGCAACAATATGATAAAATAATTGTGATTATGTCATTAAAAACCTGATTATGGGGTTTAGGTGCAAGTTCAGCTTTGATAAGTGGCGGAAACTCGTTTTCATAATTTTCAAGTATGTTTTCATTTTCAATCCCCTGAAAAATTATTGTAATTAAACGGGTGTCACCTTTTTGAAAAAGTCTTAACTGATTTAGACAAAGAGGTTGTAATAATTCAATTAATAATCAATATCACTGTTCATATTCTGAAAATTCAGGAGCTTCTAATATATTTTTACGATGAAATATGGATACAGCAACACCATCAGGATAGTTTCAATAACACTACGGTATTTCTATAATTTTAAAATTCAAAGAAGCTTAACATCTGCAATGTATTTCAATTACATTTACACAAGACCAAAATATATACAAAGATTTATATCTTATAACTATGGTCCCTTAAATTTACGATAACTTATAAAATGAAAATCTATATAGTTGAGAGTTTACTCACCCAGCCTAAAACCACTGGAGTTTGTACTAGACAGCTTACACAGCTGCACTGCTCTCCATTATTTGTAATACTATGCGTAATGAATTCCGTTACTCTCTAGCATTGGAAATAGAATGTTGTATTATCAACTGCTATGCGTGAGTCTTGAGTATTACGCAAGACTCAATGACTCAATGAGTACACATAGACACAAACTTTGAACAAAATGTTTAAAAAACTACAATTATTATAAATATCCCTATATAATAAATGTCTGCTATGAAAATAAATACGATGCAGTATTCTGTCGATATGATTATAATTGGACATACCTCGATTTTTATTCTCTCTGACAAGGCCGTTATAAGTTGAGCTCTGGGTCCTGACATGTCAGCTATTGCACGATGCAAATGTTATCCACTACATAAAATAGATTATTGGTTACTGAAAACCTCCTATCTTTATATATTTAACAGTATACGGATGAGAAAAGAGGACAAATCCTTATGTGATTTTACCGAATATTACGTTAACGGACATCAAAAAATTCCAGAATAACTTTTTTCAATATCACAAAAAAAGATGATCAAGGAAGCCGAAGAAAATGATGCCATAATGCGATTTAGCCAGAACTAGTACTTTATATGTAATAACTTGTTTCAGTTGATCCAATGATATCATTTAGAGCTAAGCCACTCTCCAGTCGAGCTATAAAGTTTTTCTAAAAGTGCAAGGGCCCCCGATAATTGAAACCAACTTATAAAACATACATTTCTGAACACTGATTCCGTATCACCAAACAGGACACAGGTTTAAAATGCTGTCTCGATCACGTGACATGATCACCGTATGAAATAATTTATTTGGAAAACTGAAAATAACTGACGCAAAGACTAAAATAATCAAATCAATTAAATGAAATATAATGTTATAAGGGTCGCAAGAAAGCTTCAATAATATGATTTTGTTTCACATTTCTGCCACGTATAAGAGGCAGACAAAGAAGGTGCCCGGTGTATGCGAAGCCGTGAAATTATTTTTGACTTTGACAGACACAAGGCCAAAAAATCATTACTTACAAGTAAAGGGAAAATGAGCAAACTAAGTATTTCAAAGCTTTTATAACAAAGGACACAACTTGAAAATTTTTTTGTGACACTGAGGCGAGAGGTGGGTTTTTATACTTTATGCTACGTAGTCTGCTAACAATCTGGTAGAGCTTTTACGTCACAATCGCGTCACAATCGCGTAATTATATTACGACATTATAAAATTTTGGTCCTGTATCCTCACCATATATGGTTCCTCAGAACCCTTGCTGTTACGTAATTCGTACTAAAAAAATTAACACCACAGTTCCTATGGTTTCATTTTACAAGTTTAACAAAGACAACCCACGAGAATTCAACACTAACAGGTTATCTCTGACGTAGGTGAGAATTGTCGGAAGTATTTTGTAAGTCGATAAGCAAAGGAATTCAATTTGTTCAAACCATGAACGTCACAGTTTTTGAAAGCGTGAACTCGACATTCTAGTTTTGGTTATCAATTAGCGTTTCCACCAGTTTCCAGTAACAGATTTCTGTCAAAAAGCCTTTGCCTACTATACCCATAATTATTGATTATGAGTTTTGGTAAACGATCATCTCTTTTTGTTCAATGTCAAGGTCAACTGATAACTTAATTAATGAGTTATAAGTTAATAATTATAAGGATGCAATTTCAACGGTTTAAAATTGCCTTAAAACATTTCCTTGTGTTTGAGGTAGCATATCTATCGATCATTGACTGAATATGTCAATTTAAATTCTTTCAAGTTGGTATCAAATTCATATAATATATTGTTTTACTGTTGTGGGAAAGCAGAATATATTCAAAATCACGAATAAGCAAAATTCTCACCTTTCGCACGTGCAAACTTTGAGCGGACGTTGCGTGCGTATACAATATTGAATCACCGTAAATTTTTGCAGAGTGGTATTTAATATATAGTTTGATAAGCATGCAAAGTTTCAGAAGATTTCAAAAAGAACTTGAATCACAACGGGACTCCAAAGTTGATAAAAATCGTGAAAATCAAAATGTTTAGTGATTTTAGCTATTTTAAATCAATTTGGGCGTGACCCCACGTGTGCAACTTTTCGATTTTCAACTTTAAAACTAGCCTATAACACAATTTAGACCTTTAGGAAGCAAAATTGAGCTCCACAATCCAAGGGATGGCCCAACACCAGAGAATACTAATTCACAACTTTTGTGTTTTTATAAAATTGTTCTTCAAAAAAGCACTAACTTCAATAGCAAATATCTTTATGAAGGAGCAAGGTAAGAAACTTTTCCGGTAGATTTTCAGAATGCTTGAACAATTATCTAAGATGAAAATGTCCTCAGATTTTGAATAAAATTACTCCTTAATGGTTTAAAATCGATTTGAAAAGTTGTTACTTTGTCAAAAAACAAGTTTTAAAAACACTTAATTTGATGACGTCATCAAGTGATTATGATGACGTTAAATTATTTTTCAATATAATGAAAACTGAAGTATAAACGATTATCTTCAAGACTTGTGGTTCAAAATGACTGTATCTTTTATACTTTTGAATCTACGGACACTTAAATGTAGGCTACAATTGACTGCCAATTGACTGCCAAAGCGTCTATATTATATCATATATATATATGCTTCACGACAATCTGTTGTAAAACAGGGGTTCCAGAAAACCCACTTCCCGATACTCCTGAAACATGAAATTTTTTTTACTGTCGATTTGGACGAGGTCTAGACGCCCTGCAAAGTTTCAGATCTCTAACTCAATTTTAACATGGTTTTTAAGGCACCTGAATATGGCGATTTTGGGTTTTTTACCTAATTTCGTATAACATGCTGGCGCGTATTTTGCGCAAATTTCTTAAGAACCTCCACACAACTATTTTTTATTCCTGTCATCTTTAACATCGAATTACAATGGGGGTAAACAGTAAAGGGGGGTAAATAGTAAAGGGGGTAAATAGTAAAGGGGGTAAATAGTAAAGGGGGTAAATAGTAAAGGGGGTAAATAGTAAAGGGGGTAAATAGTAAAGGGGGTAAATAGTAAAGGGGGTAAATAGTAAAAGGGGTAAATAGTAAAGGGGGTAAATAGTAAAGGGGGTAAATAGTAAAGGGGGTAAATAGTATTGTGAATATAAGAGCGGCGGTCATGCTTGCCAGCATTGTGATGAGTGCAGAATTATATACAGCACAGCTGTGAAATCGGTGGACACCTGAATCTCTGAATGTTTAAAGTATCTCCAGAGGTTCCTAGTTGTCGGGGATATGTCATGATTGGTTCCTAGTTGTCGGAGCTGATTGGATTTCCCAAGCTTGCATGTTAATTAGTTAACTAGGTAAAATTGAAAGGTTCCTAGTTGTCCGTCAGCCGCATCCGTCAGTGCGCGGTGCGTCCCAGTAAGTGTAACGCATCGCGCTACAACGAATAGTCGTTCAGGGCCAGCTAGAGAACGGGTTAAAAAAGCACGTGCAATACAGTCGAGTGTAGAGTGATTAATCATCATTCAGCGAAATATTGTAGGTTTATACCGTACCAAGACACACACACCGAGTTTAGAGTTTCCAGTTAGTTGGACTCGTCGCGACGGTCTTGGAATTGGAACAAATATAATTTTTTATACATATTAAATTATATCTACATCACCCATTAAGCGAAATAATAGAATTTTAAGTAAGCAGCCACAAAGTTCATCCAGTCTTATAAAATTCAAAATTATTATAAGTTTTTACATGTTATTTCTACAAAAGGACAATGCGATTTTACATTGAAATCAATTATTACAAAATTGAACAATTTCATTTTTCGCCAACATCTATAATTATCTAACATTTCATAAAAATTATTAATTTTGCGACTAAATTCTTCATCATCATGAAGCGTTGAATAAATGAAATCAGAAATAGTAAAACACTTAATTTGAAAATACCATGGCAAAAAACTATTTATACTACTATACTATAAACTTTACCTGGGGACCCCAGGATATTAGGTTCATAAACATATAGAGATTTGGCGGAATGACAGGCTGAGCGTCGCCCAATAACTATAAACTATACCTATACCCTATATGAAATTTTAGGCAAAATTAGGACCGCTAAGCCTAAAGTATTCTGGGGATCATTAAGAATAAAATAACCCAAATAGACATGTTATTATTATGTATAAATTAAACTACTGTCATGTCTTTTAAAACTTTCTTCTCTCACTCTTAGAGGCCATCTATTTAGGACGGCCGCCAAAAATCTCAAATTTTCAGACCACCCTCCTCCTGACCTCCCCGACTTGTTCAGGTTTGTCCGAATTTTCAAACCACCCTTCTGCACTCCCCTGGAATTGGAGTACGTCTCCGGATTTTCCAACAACGTTTAATAATACAATTATGAAAACAACTGAAATTCGTTGGTAAAGTGCAATTTTTGCTTTATTTTTCACCAAATTTATGGACGTCCGAATTTTCAGAAACCACCCACCCCCTCCCCCTGTCCGCGATGTATATGCCTTATATGCCAGACGTCCTAAGCACTAAGTAGATGGTCCCTTATTTTACATACATCTACCAGTTCATATGCAGTCGAATTTTTCACGAAACGTCTGCTCTACAGGCCACGTAAAAATAATATTCAATTCACTGACATTGACAACTGACAATTAAATATCTTAGTTTCGCTAAGTTTTTCCTCGATGAAGACTGTATCCTAATAAACACGGTACAAATGCAGCGTTAGCAAAGGTAGCCATGGGATAGTGGTTCATGATGTTGTACGCTATTGAGCTTGTAGAGTGATACAGGTGTATATATATATACATATCGTCTTTATCTAAGTACCTGAAAAAATTGTATTGTGTCAAATAGTACTATTTACCTTTTATTGGCTTATCTGTTTAAAGGATAAAATTATAAAATTAAAACGAGAAAAGTTGACAAGTTCTTCCCCTGCCATGGTGTGAACGCTAGTAAGGGAACGAATAAAATAGTTAAAAAAAACTAAAATTGCATCATATTGTTTTACTTTCAGCACTCTAAGTCTAGGTACAATATGCAATACAAAAAGTGAAAAAGGTTTCATAGTTTGGTGTGGGCAAACGTTGTAAAAACATTTTATTAGAAACGTGTCCGCGACGGCAGTGATTGGTGATGATTGCCAAGAGCTACTCTGAAGGAGGGTTGCCCCCGACCCCCAGGGTTGCCCCCGACCCCAGGGTTGCCCCCCGACCCCCAGGGTTTACATGTGTAAAATATGAACGGTATCTTGGTTTGTGGTGGTTGATCAATTCACCCCTCTGTCAGATCTAAGGTAGTAAGGGACTAACTAGTGACTTACTCCATTTCTAGATTGTACAAACGAAGAAAACCGGCGATCCACACAAGAACCCATGCGAAGTAGGTGATGATATAAAAGAGAGAAAGAACCAGCATCGTGAAGCTAGCCTTGTTCTCTATTACCGATCCGGTGGTCAACCATCGACCAAACCCTGAAAAAAATGTAACCTGTAAACCTGTAATGTTGTTATCCTAGATATCGATCTGATTATTAACTTATGCTTCAGTTTATGTAGAATTAAAATCTGTAGGGGTTTCAGCTGAAATTGGCTCTTCAGAGCAGACTTATAGACAACTAATGCACATTAGAGAAGGCTGAAGGGTGATGGAGGAGGGTGGTGGCTTCTTTTACCTTGTATTTTCTTGATCACACGAGCTGACATGACACTCAGAACTGACTTTCTTTTCTGAGAGACCACAGAAAATCTCTTGATCTGACTGTAGAGGTTCGGAGGACACGTTGGAGGAGAACATTTCCCAGTTAGATCCTCCAGCTCTACCTCACACTTGGTTACTTCTGTGTAGTCTCCACGAGCTACAGTCACACTCGTCATTCGGGTAACTTTTCTCATCTTCAGTATCTGAAACATAAATTATAACTAACATTGTCATCATTTAGTTGTGAGAGTAAGAATTAACTGGTCCCAAACAACATCAAATCAAGTTTCCCTTTACCCTGGTCTGGGTCAGTCATTAACTACGGACACAGTGACGGTGCGTTTATACATCCAAACTCTAGTCATCAAATTTAACTTATATATCTTACAAAACGTCGAACAAGTACAACAGTTAGGGATTGAAGGGAACAATCCTGATATAGTTTTACCTCAAATAGGACCTTGACGGAGAATGCTACATTGAGGAAGATAGGGACTAGATTCAGCAGCACAACAGCAAAGAAATAGAACGCGATCATGCCCCCGAACCCCTCCGCTGATTCAAGATGTACTGATATGTTAAGCATGATAAGAGGAGAATAGTCGCAAACATAGCTGTCCGGATAGGTCTTCTTGTACGGCTGATATGGATAGCCGTCAGGGCAACCTGGAGGTTTCTTTTTGAACACTGCTTGAGGGTGGTAGAACTGAAATTGGAAAATATTCATATATTATTTTCACATATTATTTTTAATAGGTGCTCCTAACAGTAAATATTTGTAGGGAGGTCAATCACAGCTGAGTGGGGAAGTTTTGGTCATTCATTTGGTAATAGTAAACATTAATCGAAACAAAAGTAATCTAAAAAACTTTATAAAATAATATTGAAACTCACAATGTAGGGAGCAAAAGACAAAAAGGTGATGACTGCACTGCTGGCCACGATCCAAAAAGCATAATGCTGTTTCTTCACCAAATGTATCCGATATGGCTGGCAGATAAAAATATACCTGGAGGTTTTGTTGGGAATTCAGTGGGGCAGAAACGGGATTTCAGGACAAATGTAGTCAATTGTTCTATAATAATGCATAGAAACATTGAATGAGGTGAATGAAACTTTGATCTTTATGAAGAGACATGAATCAAGAGCCTCGAACGTACCTGTCAATTGAAAGAAGAAGCATGAGCCACACAATAAGACGAGAAGTGATGTTAAAGACAGTGCCAGCTATGTTGCAGAACACTCTATCAAACGAACTCATCACACTGAAGGAGGATTCGTGTTAGGGCTTGGAGTTTGGTTAAAACGCGTTACTTTTTACCTCTCCACATTTGATGAAGTATCATCAAAACCAAAACTGTTGGGTTTAAAACGTAACTATATACACCTTGACCTATCCTTAACAGCGAATGCTAACTCAAACCTGGACCCTAAGTCTCAGTTAAAACGGTCAGGGGTAAAATGCTTCATGGTACTAATTCATTAAAATTCATTAATGTTCAGTCGTAAGCAAGCTTGAAATGCATGCTATTTATTTTTTCAGCTGTTTCACCTGATCTGGTCGCTGCAATCAGGTTCTATAGTTGGCTGCTCAGTCGAGGAGTACCAGGAGAAGTTGGCGGGTATAGAATAGGAGGTGGTGGAGTGGGGTATTGGTGTGGGTGTAGGAACCACACTTACCACCGTCACCAAGTTCCCCAGTTTCTCAATACGATAAAAGTAGAGGGTGTAGAGCATGTAGGGTAAGCAGAATACTCCAGTACAGAAGCCACATATTGTCAGGGACAAGTAAATGGGGGTCTGAAAAAGGAAATATGTGCATGGGGTAGGCTCCGCAATTTTCTCATCGAAATCTCGAAAACATTAATGGAACAAAATCTGGAAGGAAGTATATAGAACCAAAACATCATCCTAATTTTACAAACCTGGATTGCTTTAGACATCCTCACAATTTTAATAAGTCTGTAAGACACGTAGCCGTTTCCGAATATGGAGATAATGAGGAAAACAATGCCGAGAAGAAAGAAGAACCATTCCGCTGGCAGGGACGCATTCCGAATCTTGGTGAACTGATTCTCGTTCATCTTAAAGGCTAAGTGTGTAGTATTGGTGAGAAGTTAGTATACATAGCATTAAAATTCTTCATTGCTATGTGTATGTTTTTTACAACTTGATTATTTGACTTAAGCTAATCAGTAATCAACCAAAGAAACCAAAGAAACCAAAGGTCCACCAATGGTGGCAACAAAAATAGGCTACCCTCTAAATAAAGTTTAAGTAGTGACCTACATTAGCGACTTAATCCAAGGTAACCATTATATTATGAATATAATGGTTATATCTTGCATATGCTTAGCGGTGAACAAAAACGAGCGTGCTAAATCACCCTACAGTCGATCTTCGAGATTTTTCTAAAAGGTCCCCGACAGTTGAGACTAACTTCAATCGATGCATTTTCGAACGCTGATTCCGAATTATCCCCCATGACATAGGGTTAAAATGCTCCCCTAGCGAGATATTGGCGAAAAACTGTCTCGATGATGACCATATAAGGAAGTTGGTCTAATTTCTCGTTAGTGTTAATCATCATCCGAACAAAAATGAAAAATGATCGTCCATGTTCACGTTGGTAGAATGATTTGCTAACCATTCAATTGTATAGTTTCCTTGGCCCAAGCAGGTATAGATCATCTGTAACAATAATAACAATTAAAATGTATGGTGATCATGAAGGCATGAAAACGACGTCCACAAGGGAATATCACCTTAATTGTGGATGAGAAAAGTCGAAACTAGTCGAAACTAGTCGATTCACAAGCGGGTCGCCTTGAGATACCTACGTCGTTTTCATATATTCATGATCACCATCGATCTTAATATAAGACTCTACACTGGATTATGTTGGGGCGACTGCGGCTTAACACCGCCATTACTGACTTGCATATTTCATACTCATAACGTCAGCTAACGCTTATTATAATGATAACAATTTAATATTCAATATTAGAGCAGAGGTAATAATACCCAGTCCCACTTTAGAGGACGAAGCAGATCGCTGATTTTCGGATGAAATCATCAGCTGAAACAGGAGAAGACAAAGAAAGTAATCTTGGAGAGAAGGAGACATGTTGGAGAGATTGAATGGGGACATCTTGAATTGATGCAAAAGTGAAAGGGAGGTTTCTTTGTTAGGGCTGATAGAATGACGACTACTATTGTGATTAGAAAACATTCACTATTAATGACGTCCCCTACCGAGAGGGTGGAGGGAGTTGTTGGAAACAACCCTTAACAATTAGTAATCTCGAAACTGGTGATCAAATATCGGCTCCTACTCTGGATGAATACCAGTTTAAATCACATTTATCACGGCTATCTCATACTTTACAAAACAAATGAGAGGAAATCGTGATTGTTGCTTACATAACGTTAGTTACAATAATAAGATAATGAAATTTAATGGAGTTCTCACGGCATATGAGCCATATAAAATATCCAATAACCACTTTAAGTAATTTAAGTAATATCAAGATTACGACAGAGGAATTGTAATATCACGTACTATTTCGATATTCATGACGGTGAGGGGAGTATAGCGCGTGCTATAGCACATTGTAGTAATGGTGATGATTCGTGTGATCATGAGATGTCTGATACTTATTATAGGCAAGAGATCTGACCAATTACCAACAGTCAGGTCGCCACCAAATCACCAATGATGTTGGCATAATCACACAAGCTATGAAGTGCACTACACAGCTTGGCTAAATCAAGAATTTTAAACTTAAGCGGGCATACACCAAAACAGGGGTTTGTGTCGGCCAACCCAAATGACCTCATAGGAAGTTCAGCGACCATCTAGCGCACCGTTTCCACACCAAACAATTTTTTTTGAGAATACCTTTTTCTGTAATCGAGCATTTCCTGGTGAAAGTCAAAACAAGCCTGAAAAGTAAAATTACCACTTTTTGACTTTTAAAAATTGATAAAACGCAACCTATAATTCAGATACGATATCAAGATTTGAATAAACTTCGTGCAACATTTCAGCTCGATATCACAAGAAATGATTGACTTTCAAATTTAACAAAACAAATTGTGCTTTTCCGAAAAATGCACTTTTACCAGGAAATACTCGATTACAGAAATAGGTATTCTCAAAAATAATTTGTTGGTGTGAAAACAGTGCGCTAGATGGTCATTGAACTTCATATGAGGTCATTTGGGCTGGAAATTTTTGGGATATACCCCTTTAATTCAGTTTAATTACCTTTTTAATTATAATTTATTACCAGTTGATCATGATGTTTCACTCCCATTATGATTCAGAAAAATACATTTGACCTCTTCATGTTATTGCAGAAAAAGTAATGTAAAAAGCAGATCAGAAACCAAATATCGAAGAAATTATGATAAAATCCAAACATTTCTAACCGTGATTGAGACGGGAAAGACAATTATAGAAACGCAAGCTGTTGGCCGAGGGGACATGATCGATAGATCACTCTATGAATTCCATTACCTGGCCTCACAGAGTTGGACAAAGGGGTCGAGATGGTCAAATTTCCACCATCAATCACCGTACTCCCACAGAAAAATTGTACTTTTAAGGACTTGAATGACAGTGGCGAAGTCGATTAACACTTTCAGAACAATGTGGGCCAGCTCGATAATGAAGTTGTCACATTTCATCTAAAGATTATTCCTGCATTATAAGATTATAGTGATATTACTAGTGTAACCCGTGCCTACGGCCGGGAGTTCACTATCGCAGTTGAAATGCAAAAGTATAAACCCGCCTATTATATTTGAAAACACACATAACATTGTCGTATGACAGTATGAACTCTCTCTACAGTCCAAACAGACCGTAATGAGTGCCCCTTCCCTAATAAGCTTATAGTATAACATGACAGTGAATCATACGCGGCTAACCTAATTTTGATTCATGTACCAACGCTACATATTAGGACGCAATGAAGCTACCGGACCACGATATATGGGGACTTGCCACCCCATGGCAACATTAAAATATATCGACTCTGTTACATCGTTTACTCAATAAATGTAATAGATTTGTAGTGTTGAAATTAGTTTAAAATATGCAGTAATAAGCCGTTCGGAAATTGCACGCGCACATACAGACAGACAGACAGACAGACAAACACACATTCTGAAATTATTGTTTAAGATTTGTATACGGCATGTTTCAGAGATTGGAATGGAGACATTGTTTGACGTGGTCCAATATCATTACCAGGTTACGACGATCAGTTACAACGAAATCTTTGCTACATCCTCCTATCGGGTCATGTTATTGGTATCAGTACTTTAGTATCTCATTATACTAGACGGCTATGTAGTGAGTTCTGATGGTTTGAGCTTTTTAGGAGACTAGGGACACTATATTCTGTCAAAATAATAATTTAGATAAGATAACCAATTTACAGTTGAAGTGTGATGCCTTTTGTCTTGTGAGGAGCTGTGATTTTATCTAAAGTGTGGGAATAAAAAGCTGTACTAGAAGCAACCGGTTAAAGGGCTCGACAGCAACAGACAACTTTAGCTAAGAGGTAAGAATACTGAATATATTGTGCACCTGAATGTAATTTATAAGAATTAACGGAGTCGCGAGTATGGACACTGAAATCTGAAAGTTCATACTACTAAAGAACTTCGTAATTAAGCTATGATAAGGGCAGGAAAGCTGGTTTACAACCTCAACCAGAGGTTGGAGTGAACAAGCTATCTGTAATGAATTAAACAATCACCTAGATGAATATTTAGCATCATTTTACAATAACAAAGCATGTGAGCTGTCTGCAGAAGTCGTCACTTTGGTAGAGACTAAATACCCACGCGCCTTAGTAAATTATGATTCCCATCAGCAGATTGGCATGAAGATGGTGAAATCAATAACCAATAGCTAGCTAATCGACTGAAATCGCACTTTTGCAGTTAAAGTTACGATTATAACTAGTGATTTAAAGGAAATCAGCTAACAGGAGGCAATGACCAGTTGACCAGTACATAGCATCTACATAGCATCTACATTCTACATAACCTCGTCAAAGGGATTAAAGATTAACCGTAACGATCTCGCCGCGAACGATCTTGCCGCCAACAGTAACACAGCTGTGTGGAATATTGCGATCACTTATAGCCGACCCCATGTCTCAGCCTCACGGAAGTCTCGTGCCTTCCCTTTCATTTTCGTTACTTGAGCAAGGTACCTGGTACATCGGGGTACCTGTACAGTACCTGTACTTGTTCATCGGGGCTTTGATAGTACCTCCAGCTTTGTGTTGGACATTATAACTCAGTGGCCTTCAATTACAACCTGTTTTGCGGCAAGATACGGCTTGCGATTGAAATCATCCATTTTAAGTTTCATAGATATTAATTTTGGTTAAATGTGTTAACAGACTCCACAGTCCACTGTGTAACACTCAGCTAGGAGAGTTGCATGGAAGACACTATGAACAGTCTGATAATGGCAATGAATCTTCAAGTAAAACCTAGAACTACATTATTCCCTGGAGACTGGAGAGGTTTCATATCAATTGATCAGACTGAGAGTAATTTTAACGTCTATTATAACGTATAAGTAACCTACTTACCTAGCAAGTGTATGACTATGTCTAACAATATATTTCAAATTGTCTAATTGTTTTCTGAGCGACAGCTTACCATCAAACTGGACCAATCAGCGTAGAGTACGGAGATGACGAACAGATTATAACAAAGACGAATCAGCACACAAAGACGAAACAGAACTGATGTCTGTTTTAAGCCCACGAACTAGACTTACCCAAGTTAATTGTTAGCGGTAAAAACAAAACAATAGCGACCACCTGAATTGTGATGTGTTATAGGAGGCGAACCCAGAGTGCGACTAGACGGCACATTGTTCATTATTTCTCATTCTAATTATGATAATGACAGGCTTTATTAAAATAGGGTTTCACTTATGCGTTCTGGAGACTGGAATCAGAGAATATTTTCACATTCACGTGTCTGGGACTCTGACTCTGGTTCCTTTACTTAAAGAAGTGAAAGTTAATCGAGTTATAGCGGGCATAAACCTTATGTTTCTGCGTAAAATGGATAGATTTTATGTGACAACTTGCTAGAGTTACCGGTTAGCATACTTAATTGTTGTCAA